TACCAATACCTTTATGTTAATTAATCAAAGTGATAAGAATTAAAAGAGTTTAAGAAATTATAAGTTCATCATCTTTAAATTAAAATAAAATGTATTATATTTCTATTCTAAATTATATAGTATAGAATTTTGGTTCAACTTTTTAGATCTAAAAAAAGCTACTCTATTTTAAATTTTATTTTTTAGTTTAATTGGATTTCATTATACAACATGTTTATGGGCCTTAACAATTCAATATTCTTAAAAAGTCATCCCTAATTATCTAGATGCTATGTATTGGGCAATGTAAACTTTATCAACAACTGGATATGGTGATTCAATACCTAATGGACCACTTGAATATTTATGTGCAATAATTGGCACATTTAGTGGTGGTAAATAAATTTCATTTAAATCATATTTTGATGAGTTTAATTATTGGGAATTCTAGAAAAATACTAGATGATATGGATAATGAAAGTTAATTTAATAAAACTGTTAATTTATATAAGAATCTGTTTAACCAAATAATTATTTTTTCTAAATACAAAGATTAAATTAACAAATTCCTTATTATTAATCATAAATAAAATTTGTGTTGGACTTTAATTTAAGAAGAATGGTTTAATCTTATTCCAAAAGATCTTTAAAATAAAATATTACTTTTTGTGGCAAGGAAAGAATTATTAAAAATATCATTATTTAAAATATCTATTCCATTTTCATTGAAGATTATTCGCCATATTAGTTTGATGAAAGCAAAGGCAGGAGAATTTATATGGCTAAAAGGAGATCCTGTTGATGAGATATACTTTTTGATAGAAGGTTTAGTTTAATATAGAAATTAATATGGAAAACCATTATTATAGATTAAAAAAGGTGTAATATTTGGAGAATAAGAATATTTTCTAAGAAAATAAATAATTCAAGTATAATAATAACGATAACATTATGCTATGGCAATTTAAGATTGTTATTATTTGATCATAAATCAATAAAACTTTTTTGTTAATCTTAAGTAATTTTAAGCATTATAATAATATTTATCAATTCTAGCATTACATAGATTGGATGAGATGAATATTCAATAAAAATAATATGAAATTGAAGCTAATAAAGTAAGATTGAATTAACAAAGATTAGAACTAATAAAATAAGCAAATAGAATAGAAATAAGAAATTGCATATTAGTACCAACACATAATTAAAATATTATTTATGAAACAAGATAAAGTAATACAGAAGGAATTTTAGATAAATTATTAAATAACAAAAAATCTAAAATCTTAATGCTTATGGATAGATTTAGAAAAGTAGTTTAAATGATCATATTTGCAAATAAAACTTTAGAAATGAAATATAAAAAATAAAAGGCAATGTAATAATTAAAAAGGAAAGTTAAACCCCATTAAATAGTACCAATTAGTGTACTTATTAAAATTAGATAAAAATTCTTACATATATCAAATATAAAGAAAATAGCCTTAGAAAAAAAGAATGAATTTAATAAAATAGTTTTAGCATTATCATAAAGTAAAATTTAGAATTAAGGTTGTTTTAAAAGATTAAGTAGTTCTAAAAGTGAAGAAACAAAATATGCTCTTATTTTGAATCATAATCCATAGAAATTATTAAATGAATTTTTTAAATAAATGAGTGTATTAGAAAAAAGTTTAGCTTTATCTTAATGGTTAGTAAAAGAAATATAGAAAGATATAAATAATGAATTGATAAACATAAATTAAGTATTTGAAAACAATGATTTTATAAAAAATTAATGATTTACTTATTTATAACTAATGTTAAATAACAAAAATTATTATAAATTAATATTTTTAATTATTCTAAGAGAATGTTTAGAAAATTTATGAATATAATTACTATTCCTTTAATAAGATATAAGAAACCTATATTAAGTGCCAGTTTTATTAGTTTAACAACTTTCTATTGCATTGAAGATAAAAATATATTAGAAGCAAGGAAAAAAATCGAATAAGACATTTTAAAGATGAAATCTTAATTTGGATCTTAAGTTGATATATATCCAGAAGTTAAGTAATAAAATAATGTTAATGTATATATAGATATGGAATGAAAGGAAATAGATATTCTATCACATTTACAGCAGATTAGAGAAAGTGTGACATATTTGCATTATTAGTTAACATATTAAGTTAACTATAAAAATAGGATGGTAGTTTAAAAATAAAAGAAGTTATATCAACATTTGAAAATTAAACATACAGTTTACAAATAGATTTTGAGGAAAGTGTAGGAAATCCAAATAATAAAATATAAACTTAAGGAACAATCTATATTTATGGTGAAATGACAAATGAAAAACCTTCAATTTAAATTATATTAGAAAAGACAGATTAATTTTCAAATGTAGATTTAGAAGCATTTATGGCTTGTTATGTAGAAGCAAATAAACCTAGATTTTTATCTCAATCTAAAACTATTAAAAATAATCAATAAGTCTAAACAGAAATGAAATAACAATAGGATATGAACTCTGAAAAATCATTATAAGAATTAGAAAAGGCTGGTGTAACTATATTTATGCCTGAAAATAAAGAGAGAAATTTAGATTGGAATTATTTAGCTGGTTATGAAAAGTAAAAAAGAGATATTGAAGATACAGTCTTATTGGCATTATAATATCCAGAAATTTATGAATCTCTAACAGCCTTAACTAGAGTAAAAAATGAACCCAATAGACCAAAAGCTATATTATTTGAAGGTCCTCCAGGAACAGGGAAAACAACAACAGCAAGAATTATGGCTTAATAAGTTTAAATACCTTTAGTTTATTTACCAATAGAAAGTTTTATGTCAAAATGGTATGGAGAAAGTGAAAAACAATTTGCAGATATTTGGAAGAGTTGTTAAAAATTAGGAAGAGTGATAATATTTATTGATGAAATAGATGCTATAGCATAATAAAGAGGAGGAGAAATGCATGAAGTATCAAGAAGAATATTATCTACTCTTTTGAGGAAGATTGATTCATTTGAAAGCAATACAAATGTATTATTGATATGTGCAACCAATAGAAAATAAGATCTAGATGCTGCTATGTTAAGTAGAATAGATTTATCTGTTAAATTTGATTTACCAGATTAAAAAGCAAGATAAGATATTTTTTAAAGATATGCCAAACATCTTACTGATAAAGAGAGAGATATACTTAGTTAATTAAGTAATGGAATGAGTGGAAGAAATATATCAGATATATGTAAAGATGCTGAAAGAAGATGGGCAGCAAAATTAATAAGAAAAGAAGTTACTGAGTAATTGCCATCATTAGCATAATATAAAGAAACTTTAACTTAAAGATTAAATAACTTTGCTTGAGTGTTTGATATATAATTATATTTATTATTTTATAATGTCTTAAAACAATAATCGTTAATTGTAAGCAAGACCAAATAGAAAAACTGAACAAACTTTTGATTTCTTCAAAAACACTAAAGTTTTAACCTGCAGTTATATCAAAAGAAAAGGAGATGATTTTATTGCAGTTCCATTCTATTTTAAACCAAATTAAAGAAATCCAGATTATTTAAAGTATAACATGTATTTCATTAAGCAAATCAATGTATTCAACATCAACCAATCATGATGCATATAACAATAAAAAAAGATGCTTTTCTAGTATGAGAAACAAACCTTTATCACCATATAATCCATTAGCTCATAGAAGTAGATTAGCAGATCAAAGTTTAAGGATATCTTCCAGCAATATGTGTTAAATAGAAATAGGAGATAGGTTATAAAAAATATTAATATTAGAAATTAGAGAATGATTAAGCATTATGTAACTTAATATAAGAATCAGTTGGGAAATTTTGGAGAAACCACACCTTGTTCAAATCCTTAGATTATGGCAGAAAGAGCTAAATGGAATCATAGACTCAAGGATAAATGACTTCATATTAAATTTAACAAATATTTACTATAAACAGATTGATATCTCACCAAAATCTATGTATTAACTAAATAATTAGAATAAACATGATTTTGTCATCAATAATTATATAGAGTTTTGTAAAAAAAACAATAGATAAATAATAAAACATAAATATCCAACAAAAATGAATTTTATTATATTAATATAATGCAAAACACTTAGAAAAATAGAGATGATAATAATTCCTCTAGAAGTAGAAGTGAATCTCCTTTAAGTCAAGAAGAACAAGAAAGAAGAAAGAAATTACCAGTTTATGAAAGGACGTTGGAAGAAAAAATAATGAGTAAAAAAATTAAAGCTGTTGAAAAGGATAGGTTAATTAAAGTGTTTAATGCACTAATATAATTAGAGCCTAAAAAAATAGAATAAGAAATGGATGGTAATAAGACAACAGAAGGTGATAATAAACTTGGAAAATAAAAAAAAAAGAAATCTAATGAACCCAAATTTTCAGCCAAAGCCATTTATGAAATGATGAAAAAATTAAATTACACACCAGGTAGAGATGAAGTAGAAAAGATGATTTGGGAAATTGATGAAGATTTGGATGAATAAATCAGTTGGTATGAATTTCAATTGATGTTCAAAAGATGTATTAAGGATATTTCTTATCTAGAACCAAGGTATTATATTGATAAAATTTAAGAGGTTTATTTAACTTTGTATAATTTTTAATGTACGCTTATGATAAAGAAGCTATAAAAAATACTATAACTGTTGAAGACACTTTGGAATTATTATATGTGAGATGTGGTAGATAAAATTTAGATGGAGAAATATTTAAAATATTTGGTTAAGATGAAAAAACAGCTGATGGATAAGAAAAAGAAATTACATATTCTGATTATTTAATTTAGATGAAAAAGAAAGACTTTAACAATTGGACTGAATTAGAAAATAAGAAAAAGAAATATGATCCTTCAAAAGAATAAATCCTTAATAAAAAAGATTGATATATCTATTATCTAGATATAACCATTCATTTCTTATAAAAATTATATTTATAAATTGGAAAAATCTCATTGATATTTTAATATTTCAAATCATATCATTTCTAATAAACTCTAATATTGCCCTAATGTGGTATCATCATTTATTTATCAATTTAACAGAGTTCTTACCATTATCCATCCTTCTAAATAGCACTTTTGAATATCTTAGTAGACTTTTTTAAGTTTATTACACATAAATAACCATCCCCTGAATAACAAACTATCTATTTATTATTTAAAGGTAACAATCTATTTAATCATAATTAATTTCTACCTATAAATTACATCTTCACTAACTTTATAATCCCTTGTTTTGGTCCCTTTCAAAATTTTTATGCTACCATCTCCCATTCCAAGAGCATACTTCCCCTATTTAATTTATCCTATACAAAATATTGGAATTTAGAACTAAGTTGATTTTCTTATTGTTTGACTTGCTAAATCAATCTAATTATTAATTATAATTATACAAAATTCATTTAACCATCTTAACCAACTGAAACCAATTCTTTATCTAATACAAAATCTGATACAGGACCTTAATGAGCATTAAAAGACTTAAATTATTTTCTTTCTTTCAAATCCCATAATTTTATAGTACCATCTTAAGAAGATGAAATCAAATTTCTTAAAGAGTATGACTATAATTTAGATATTCTTTATGTATGACCATTAAGATTATAGATTTTTAATTTAGACTACAAGGAGAAAGCTGTTATAATACCCTATCCTCCAGCAAATAAATAATATTAATCTTATAATTTAGCTACTGCTAGAGCACTTAATCCTTCATTTGCCTTCATTCTAAAATCTAAAGAATAGTTTGGCTTTAACCACCCAACTATATTTCCTGTATCACTTCCAGATATTAAATGAGTAGGACTTTCGGTAATAGATACTATGGAAGCTTCAGATTCATGTCCTCCATTTAAAGATTTAAATCTATTTTATTTAATCTTATCCTCTATATCATATATATATTCATTGTTTGTCTTATTCAATGTTTTAGTAGCATCATCATATAATTATTGGACATCATATTCAAAATTTTATAATCTAAAGTTTACCAATATTTATTATAAAACATTTTTATTTAATAGATGAAATTTATCAAAAACTTGCTTTATTTCATTTACTACTGTTTTATCAAAAGATTATTTCTCTTTAAGCATTGAAACAGCTGAATCATATTCTTATTTATTTAGATTAAGATTTTTCATATTAATTAATTATTAAGCCCAGCGATTTGATTAGTTAGAATTTATAATTATTCCTTACTCTTATAATATAAATGCTAATTATTTTTGTTCCAGATCTAAAATGTGATGTTTAAACTTATTTTTGGCTTTGTCAAAAGACTCATCTATATATTTCAATAATTTTGAATGTTCAGGAAAATAATGGCAGGTAGCTTTATGTAATTCAGGATTGAGAATATATGATAATTCATTTTGAAATTGTTTGATTTCCATTTTCATATTACATTTTTAATGTGTGAATTAACAATCACTACATAAGATTCTTGAAGAGTATTTACATACATCTTCTAAACATACTCCAGATATTTATTTCTTATGTAAATCACAAACTTATTAACTTAAATTTCTAGTTAGTGTTTGTTGTGTCTGTTATTAAATATTCATTAAAGTATATTGAAATAAACAAAAAATAAAATATATTAAATTATTAAAGATAAAACTAAATTCTTTTAACTTGATAAATATAATTGAATTATAAACACATGTAGAATTTATCTTATTCTCAAACATAATTGACTATTCCAATTAAAATTACATCTTAAAAAATTTAGTGAATTGATTAAAATCCTGTTTGAATTATAATATCAATTGCAAATATACAACTAATAATTAATTTCATCGATGATATTCTAACTATTTAATAATAAATTATACTTATTCATTAGACAATATCCTGCAAATATATGGGCAAATCCATATAATGATCTAACTTTTAAACCTAATGCAACAAATTATTAAAGATTTTTCATTCCTAATTACCGAACAGATCTGTCATAATGCAACTATGTCCAAGGGTCTGTCAATAACGATATTCCATAAATTGCAATGTATATTCCAATCAGAAAAACTCCTAAACCTTTCATTCTTTATTAAGAAACTCTTAAAATATTAATATAATATTTAATAAATAATATAAATTAATATAATAAAGTAAAAAAAAAAATTAATAGATAAATTTGTAATCCTTTTCATAAAGTATTATTTAATTGAATAATTTTATTGATTTCTGAAAATAATTCAAATTCTTTAATATAAACATATATCTTAAATTACTCAATAGTATGATTAAGGTCTTTATTATTATTATTATTATTATGTATTTTAAGGTATATTTTATATCGGTTTTTTAGATAAATTTTTTGCATCCAATACTTGATAATGTAGTTATTCATTTTCTCTTTTTAATTTCTCATTTTCTAATTTAAGTTCTGAAATTTATTTTTCCAAATAATTAATTTATACATTTAATGCCTTTACTTCCCCTTCACCTTATGCTCTAATGACTTGTCTATCTCCTTCTGCTTTTGCAATTTTTTCTCTTAAATTCATACATTCTTTATTCATATCATCATATTTTAATTAAAAGTGATAGAGCTTTTCTTCAGCTTACCTTCTTTACTTCTAACTATCTATTTATAAATGATATCAATACTTTATTCTTCCATTTTAGCTTATTCTAGATCTCTTTGTAACTATTCAACTTATTTGAGTGTTCTTTATAAATGGTAATCCTGTATTGCATTTGTATTTTCAACTCTATCCTCTTATTTTTTGAACTTTCTATAACTTTATGTCGTATATGTAGTTGAAGATGGATAATACATAAGAATCGTTAATTTTATTATAAAAATCAAATATATACAATTGAGATTGAAAATTATTATATGAATAATCTAATCAATTAATAAAAATGATTTTTTCCATACAGTAATATTTCAGTTCATATTAAAAAAAGTAAATTTATAGATTATAATATAAGTTATTAATCTTTAATAATAATTATTATTTAAATAGTAAATTAATCTTACAAAAAGATATTATTATAGAATAATTATAAATATATTTATCATTAATAATTTTCATCAGGATAAGTAATTAAAAGTAGAATATTAATTATCTTCCTAAATAAAATCTTCTTCGCTTGTTAGTTCTTCAAATGTTGTTTTTTTTTCTGTACCATTATTTTAATTATATTTTGATAATAGATTAGAATATGGGCATGTTTTTTTAAGCTCATTTTTTAACAAATTAATTGCATCTAAATATTATTTTGTTTAGTTTTTGATTTTTTTGTTATTTTAAATGTAATTGATAATTTCTTAAGAATTTAGAAAATCTTCCCATGCTTTTCGAATTAACTAATAGTTTTTATTTTTTGATAGTCTTTAATGAAAAATTAATTTAAGATCTCCTAACTCAAACCTCTTCTGTTTTGAGCTTTTGGAATCTTTCAATTTCTATAAAGTATGAGTCACAATGATTAGATTATCATCATTTTTGTTCTTAGACCACTTAAGGAATTGATTCATAAAGAATGGTGCTATTTTTCTTGAAAAATCATGAGATATAATTGTATCATTAGCAGCTTTTTGAGATTAAATCGTTTCTATAAGCTTATTAAACAATTCAGTTTTTATTTTTATAAGGACTTCTGTTTCACATTCTTCGATTAGTTAAATACAATACATTAATTTTATTATTGAATTGAAAAAAATAGAAATTTTAGTTTTTTTTTCAAATTAATATTCAATTAATAAAAATCAAAAAAATTATTCTATAAGTTTTGCTTTGATGGATTCTCCCAAATTCCCAATTAAGAAAAATATATTATTAAAAAGTATTAATAGTTTATTTTTATATATAATAAAAATCTTCTGTTTTAGTAGATTTAAAATTTAACTATTAAATTATATAGGTGTTTAAATCAAAACTTAATAAATATCCTTTACAACAATTTCTTTAGGTAGAGATAATTAAGATTTAAATACCATCTAGAATGCTAATTCCAACAAAATTTTTGGTATAAATAATCAGTTGTCTAATATAATTAATGCCTTTTATTCATTTCTGTCATTTATAATATTACTTATATTTTATCTATATATTCATTAGAACATTATTTTATAAAATTTTATTTATGGAGATTAATAATATAATATAGTATTAATATTTTTATATTTAACAGATTACATAAAACTCTTCATTCTATTATATATAATGCCATCTTATATTCAGTTGTGTTGATAAGAGAGGTTTAGTTACCAATTCTTCGACCTCCTTAAGGATGATCCAACCACATACTAAATCTGTATGGATTTTCAGGATCTACATTATCTGCTAATTAAAGATTAACATTTTCATTTGGAGCAAATCCAATAGAAATTCTTGGAACAAAATACCAAAATAAATCTTCACTTGATCTACTTTTTCTTGCTTTTTCTCTATTTGATGTAACAGTGAAGATTTCAAATACATAATCGCAAGCCATTAAAGCGAAATGAGTAGGTTTTTAAGCTGAAACCCCTCCAAAACATGCTATTCCAGTTAAACTTACAGAAATAGACAAATTATAAATTTATTCATGAGTTAGAGATTTATTTAAATATTAATCTAAATATAAGGTAAAACCTTGTAACAATGCAATTGGGTAATCTAATTAAATTTTTCCTAATAAATATCTTTAAGCATTAAAAAAATGTTTATTTAATAATATTCTATAATCTACATACTATTTCACTTCTTAAATGGTATTATTGAATTTAGAATTAATTTCATGATAATAATTATCAAATTTATCTATCAATACTTTATTATCTTAATTATAATTTAGCTCTTTTTATTAATTTGTTTGATTTATTTTTTATAAACCATTAAAATTAGAAATTGATATTTGAGTATTTGATACTTATTCTTTCAAATTATTCAATTCTTAAGAAAGCATAGTTATTGTTTGATTTTATAAAAGTATAATCTCTTTAAATTATTTCTATAATTCTAACATTTCTACTTTTAGTTTTTAATTGTATAATTTTAAATATTCTATTTCACTAGTTAATTTATCATCCATCATGTTTTTAATTTCTTCTATTTTAATTATATTTTCTTATTGGAAATCAGATAACTATTCCTTAATTTAATTTATATCTGATTCAATTAGAATAGACTCTTTAATCTAAAATTATTTTTAATTTGTTTATGTTAAAATAGAGAATTAATTACTTATTAATATAAGTATAGTAATAATAAGACTAAATTTAAAGAGTTTATTTGATGAATATGGATTTTCTAACTTTTTAAGTCTTTCTTCAGCTTATGTTATTTTCTCTTCTTAACTAATAGAATAATATAATTCATACTTTGTAAACATTTTTTAAAAATCAAGACCTTTTTTTGCTAAATTGGTTCTAATCTTATCAAAAAGTTATTTTTATTTATTAATTATATCATTATGAAATTTTTCATCATTCCTTACATAAAGCTCCAAGATATATTTTTATGTTTAATTATTGTATGATTTTGCTTCATTCAATATTCTTTAATGAAAACCCAATTCATTTACAAACATTTGAATTTGATTATCAACTTCTGCTTTTGCTAATTTAATGAAGTTTTAATCATGAAAGGGGAATTTTTCAATTTTTTATATTTGCTCTTTTTGAAAATCAAAACATTTTTATTATGCCTCTTGTAGAAAAAGAAATCTTCCTTGATATTTTGATTCTAAATGATTTAAAATATCTTTTATTTCTGTAAAATCATCTAAATGACGAACAGTTTTAGTATTTTTAAATTTATTAATTCCTTTTGCATTTGTATGTTATGATGTTAAACATTTGTGGCATTACAATTAATATCTTTTATTTTAAATACATTCTATATTTGTGCAAAGAAAAGTCCTATTATGATGTGTTAATTTACACACCTCCGATTCCCCATCTTGATTTTACATATAGAAGAAATAAAAATTTTATAAAGTATTATTAATAAATATATTTAAAAAATTCAAACAAAAGTTAGATTAAATAAAGTTATTTAAATAGTTTAATACCCAATCAATAGATATGATTATAATAATAATAAATAAAAAATATATAATAAATTAATTTTAACTATTTTAATTAACTAATTAGAATAAATTTTCCTGGATAAATTCTCCTTGAAATAATGTGCTTTATTTTATTTAAGAATCACTTCTACATATTATATGTACAGAAATTATTCTCTAGATGATAAATACAATTAAGAATTGTTAAATATTGTAGAAGCATTTGGTGGAGCAAATTGCAAATATTGGACTTAAGTTGCAAGATTATTTTACGAAAGAACAGGACTTGCTGAAACTAAAAGTTATAATCTAAAAAAAAGGTTAAAATATAAGTATTTATATATATATAGATATTAAATATTGACAAACTACTGTGATAATATAAATTTGGAATAAGAATAAATCTTATATGAAACTGGAATCAAATGTAGAGGATTAACTAAGGCTGGTTTATAAGAATTCTAAAATAAAACTGGATGTAAGTAAGTGTACATATCAATTTCAGTTTGTATCTTGGGAGATATACATAAAAGATAGCCAGATTTCTATAAATTGGGATAAAAATAATTTCCTCTGCTTATATTCATTTGAAGAATATTAAAAAAAAGAGATTTGGATCTTAATTTCCTAGAATCTCATATGTGGATATTAATATAATGTTGAAGGCAGCTGATATAAAGGAGAAAATAGATGATCCAATTTTTATTGAATTATAGAATAGTGCTATCAAATTAGAATAATTATTTTATTAACATGTAAAATGTTATGATAAAAACATGGATGAGAGATATGATCATTATATGAAAGTGGCAAATAGATTATAATTTAAGAAATTAATGTTTTTTTTATATTTTTGTGGAGAATTAAAAAGAATAAGTTTGAACATTTTTGATAAAAATAGTTGTTTTAATCATCCTTTGATAAAAAATGATATTGAACTAAATAAGTAATCTATTTATTATTAATTACTAATATCTTAAAATGATTGGAAGGAGAAGTATGATTTATTTTTTAATTGTACTAATCAATTTTAAACAAATGATTAATTTTCAATGTTAATTAAATAAGCCAAAAAAGATGAAATAGATGAATATGATTTAATACCTAGAAATTAAAAATAAATTTCAAATAAAGTAGCTAATGCATAAATAGAATGTATTGGCAAATAAAAGAAACTTAGATATTTTAGAGGACATTATGTTTAAAAAGGTTAAATAAAAACAACAGGTTAAACAACTATATATTTTGATCATGATGTAGACTCTGAAGAAATTGAGAATGAAGATTTCGAAAAAGAAATTTAAAGATAAAAAGAAAAAGAGGAATTAGAAAAATAACAAGAATAATTTATTAAAATTTATAATTAAATGTTTTCTAAGGAAGAATAAGCTGATTAATTTAAGGAATAAAAAGATACTCAAAATCATAAAAATAACAAATTAAAAAAAAAAACAAGAGTACTTTGAAATATATTTAATTAATTTTTTATTTTAAGAAATTATCTATTAATTAATTAATTTCATCCTCATTCTTAAAATATGATATTATTAAGATGAATTAAAATTAATAATCTTATTAAAAATCAAATTTATAATTAATATTCAATGAAAAATATTTGAGTGATTATAAATGATTTAAATATATAATAGGTATTCTTTAAAATTTTATTAACTACAATGAATCCCAGATACAATTATCCAAAGAGATCTGTTTCTAGTATGGATAGATAATAAATACTAAAAGCCTTAGGAAGTAATCCATCTGATAAAGATATTGAATATATGGCATAAGAATATGATCTTAAGTCACGTACAATTAAGTCTTGGTTAAAGCAAAAATATTAAAATTAAATCAAAACCTCTGAATCAGATGAAGATTTTTAAGGCAATAGAAAAAAAACTAAAGCAGATAAAGATCTTCTTGATTTCGAAAGAAATTTTAATTAAAACTCTGATGTTTATCACTATGAAATAACTAGCATGGACCTTTTAAAAAATGACAAAATCTTGTATTAATAAGAGTCTGAAAAACCTTAAATTATTACATAATAAAAGTTACATTCAACTCCTTAATAAATTGTTAAACCCTTAAGTAGTGATAATTTTTTTACCATGAAAATTGATAAACAATAATAATAATCATAAAAATTTTCACTATAAAATTTTGATGCTCTATTATTATTATTAGATTAAGATGATGAAATACATCATTTGGTATCCTTACTTAGAAATTAAGAGAAATAAATTGAAGAATTGAAAAAAACTCAATCAGAGATCCTTGAATACATGTGTTCACATTTGACAAAGAAACCAAAAAAAATTTGATTTAAATACTAAAATACAGAAGGAATTACAAATTATCTTATAAGATATTCAATCATTATTATTATAATAAATATTATACTATATTAGTTCAAAAGTATTTGAATATATAATATATAATAATATTATAATGAGTGGTAATAGTTAAAATGATTGTATGTCTCTAAACTGATTTAATATAAATCCTAATGAATAGGAAATTTATGCCCAATTTAGATTTACTTTTGCCAAATATCTTCAACACAGATATATGATAATTTCTGTGTTGCTTTTTTATTGGCTTAATTATCTACATAATGGAAATAGAAAATTTAAACAAAAATAAACCAAGTGATTTGCAAATCATAAGCCCCCTTGTGTTTATAGGTTAGTATAACTAGCTTATATTTATTGGATGTCTTAAGAAAGTCAGGCCATTCTAATCAAATCTAGAAAACCATCTAAAAATTAGTAATTTAACTCAAATTTAAGAAATTTAACTTCATTCCTAGACATTCTTGTCTCCACAACAGTCTTAATCTGAGGAATGAACATTTCATTAAACATCAACTACACTCTCTTAGTGTAGTCTGTTAAATTAAAAAACTTAGTGGAATTCTTGATTCTCTTCTTAGGGCAACAAACAATTCTCAGACCAGCATATTATGCCGACACTTTCTGTCCCAAAAGAAAGGAGGACTTTAACCCCAGGGTTTGTTTATGTAATTGCTTACATTCGTGTATATGTGCCCCGATGACTAAGCAATTTGCAAAATCTTTTGTTTATTTTTATTTAAATTATTGAAAAATAATCACAAGTTAATTTAGTAAAATAATGTAGATATAAATATTTGAAAGCTTTTAAAATGATTGATAAGAAAATAATGATTGTTTTAAATAGGTGATTATAATATAGATTTAAAATAATTTATTGGGTTGATTATATTTATAATTTTTATCATAACAGACAAATATGTTTAAGGTTCTTATTGCACTTAAATCATAATAATAATTCAAGTGTACAGTAACTATGGGAGGAAAAACAAAAGTAATAACCTTACCTTAAACCGAAGGATTAACATTTAATGTAGAGTATTATAATTAATATATAATAAAGCTAATTAAGTACAATCTAGTTAAAATACAATGATGAAATATTTAGAATTTAAATTAATGAAGATATCACAGAGACAACAGGTGAATATAAATTTACAAATGTGAGTGGATAATATTATATTGTATTGATCCAAGATATTGAAAAACCATCTAAATTAAATATAAAATAAAATGCATAAACATCAGAATCACCACTTAAGAAAAATGATACAGAAAGGAGTCTAACTGCTAGTACCAAGAAAATAAGCTTTAAGACACCTACAAATAAATAGAAATCTGAATCAAATTAAAAAATGATATAATCCTTTATTTTAGGAGATAATTTAATGGAATAATTGAAATAAGAAAATAAAGAGCTTAAATAAAGAATAATTGAACTTGAAAATTAAGTGATAACATTATAAGAATAAAATGAATAAAGAAATGATAAAGTTGATTAATCTAAATAAGAAGTTTCAACAAATGATATAAAAAATGATTTTTAAAATCTTTTAAGATTATAACAAAGACAAGCTCAAGAAAATAAACAATTATTAAAATAATTAATTGATTTAGATAATAATTATTAAGAATTGTTAGAAAAAAAATCATTAGTTGATTAGGAAGTAACTAAATTGAAATAAACTATCAGCTAATTTGATTGTCAAATAACTTAATTAAAAAGTAGATTAACATAATTTGAAATAGATGGATTAAGTTAAAATATATAATTAAATTTATAAATTGCATAACCAATAGAGAATGATGAGATAATTGACAATTTAATTAAACTCATATTAAAAATGAGAGCAACTGGATCTTAATATATTCCTATAAAGGAAGATAAATTAGACTCTAAATTAGCATAAATAATTGCTAAAGATCATACTTAATAATATTAATTTATTAGATTAAAATAAGGTTTATATTTAATAGGAGAAGATTAATATTAATTATTTTTATAAGATAATAAAATTATGATAACAACTGAGGATGGTGTGTCATAACTTTAAGATTTTATTAAGAGTAGAAAAAGAGTAAAATCAATTAATATTCGTAAAGCTTGAGATTATTTATTAATATATATATAATTTAATTGAAAAAACACATTAATTATTCAGTTTTATTTCAGAATTTTCATTTATTTATTTTTCTTTTAGTAAATTAATTTTGGATGCAAAAAATAACAGGATCTGGAGTGATGATCTTTATTAAACATAAAGAAGAGACCTTAGTTTTATTATTGTAAAACATTAGAAAAAAATAATTGGTGTTGATGGAACCTGGAGGGATTCAAGAAACAGGACTTTCATCTATGAGTAATGCATTAAAGGAACTCTATGAAGAAACATTTGCAGGATTATCAAAAGCTGATTTAGATGAGGAGCATAAAGTACTAGTGAATTTCGAATACTTATGTTATACAGTCTATATTAAAATAGATGATTTAAAATTTTTTTAAGAAGTAATGGGAATGAATTAAAAAATATTAAAAATGTCAAATAATAGATCATTGCATTCATTTAATGAGTGCAAAGGATTTAATTTAATAAATTTAAAGGACTTAGCGAATGTGAATTATGAGTATTATGAATAAGATAATAATAAAATACCACTTCATTAAAGAACTAAAGGAGCATTTAAGTAACTCTAAGATAAAAAAATAATTGAAAAGGATTTATCAATATAATTACCATTATTTTAATGTTCCTTAGATAAAATTAGAATAAAGAATCCAAAATCCCCTTTACATGTTTTAAATAATTAATATACATATGTTATACATTGATAAATTATTAATATAATTAAGATTATGAAAGTAACAAAAAATTAGAAATTAGTGTTAAATAATAGGTTTTTGAATTACAAAGCTAAAGAGGATTTAATAAATTTCTTAGAGTAACCATAAAAGGATGTTGAAATGAGTTAAGCTACTAGAATTAAAAAATCAACTATGATGAAAAAGATTATTGAAATGTTTGAAAAGAATACAGGGATTCTAGAATTGGAAGCAGAAGATGCCTTAATATCAAGATTGATTTCATCATATGAAGTATATAAGCGAAAGGGAATTCAACACGTAAGTGAGATTTCTATAAGGAAAGAAGAAAACAAAGCGATTTTAAGAATAAAAGTTGTATTAAACCAATAATGATGATTATTAAAATAAGTTTTCATTCTTCAGCTTATACTTTGTCTATATAATAGCCCTAAATAATCCTATTACGATGTTCAATCTAATTAGCAAAAACATAGCTAAATTCTCCAGTGTAAGTTGCATCTAAGAATTTCATAGTATCCTCTGACACCATGATTCTACCAATTTATGAATTCTATTCCATTTTCTTTGCTAATGCAACATCTGATCCATAAATATCATATCTTACAATATCTGTTCCTACAATGCCACCAATTATATTTCCAGTATGTATTCCTATTCTCATATTGATATCAGGATATTGAATATTTTTCTTTAATAAATTAACAATATCTAATAATTAAAAACCAAGATTGACTACATTATAAGCTTCTTCTTCTCTTATTCCATTATTAGCATCTAAAACTCCTAAGACAACATAACTATCTCCTATAGAATATAATTTATAAACATTATTCTCAGTACAAGCCACATCAAACTTATTAAAAAGTGAACTTAACATTTATAATACTTATTAAGCATCAACACTAGTAGAATATTTTGTAAAGCCTGCTATATCAGCATAAAGGATGGTAGCATTTTCAAATACATCAGGTATGGTATCTTATTCTTTAAAATATTATTATAAAATATGAGAGGGTAAAAGATGACTAATAATTTTATTTTATTCTTATTATTATTATAAAAGTTGATCATGAATATTATAATTCTAATAAAGTAGATCTTCATTTTGATTTCTTTAAACAAGAATAAATATTTCTATTGTAAGAATAAAAATAATAGTTTCATTCCATTCATTAGAAAAGGAAAGTATGAATATTATATTTATATATTTCAAAATAAATAGTAGTTTTCTATGACGAGAAGTGAAATAAGGTAAGGCTCTTAAAAAGTAACCCAAACATAAAGTATAAGCTAAGATAAGAGTAATATATGATCTTTCTATTGGATCATTAATAATGATTGTTATTATGGTAAATAAAATACAGATGAAATAACCTATGATCATACTTATTTAGAATATATATTTATAAGCATCTCTTAGGCAAAAAGGAACAACTATACAACTCATTAAATAGAATGCAATCTTTAATCCTTCAATAGTGAGATTGACTCCCAAATATTACTTATATTCCATTAAAGCAAATAAGATAGGCAATTAAAATATCATCAAATAGATAAAGAGAATCAGACAATACTAAACAGTATCTTAAAACAATTTATGATTATAAATCCTTATCATTTCTTTATATTTGAATTGTCTAAAATATACTCTTCTAGCTTGATTGGTACCAAAGTCACATTTAACTCTAATCAATTCTTACATAATATCAGTTTCAATCTTCTCTTGATTTCCAATAAGTTATTATAATTTTGGAATTTCAATCTTTTCTTCTTATTATAGTGTAGAATCAAATAAATGATTATTATTATTATTTTATAATGATTTCTAGCTTTTAACATTATTCTATGGACTTTTTGATAATAAATCATCAATATTTTTTTAAGAATCAGCTATTTTTAAATTATCAAATAGATCACCAAATTGATCACCTAATGGATCATCTTTCTTTTATTATTATTGTTATTGTTATTGTTATTATTATTATTATTAGATCTAATCATGCGATGACATCATTTAAGGATTCACTTCTTTAAATCTAGTGACTCTACTTTTTCTATGCATAGTTATACGTCTATTAGATATATCCTCTATTATTTATTATTAAATAATTACATAATAATTTATTAGCTGTGATTACATCTTATATCACTTTACCAAATTATTCAACAGGTAATTAATAAACAGATTTATTTCTAGACATTGATGATTTTCTTGCAATATCAAATTAGAAACCTGCAGGATTAACAGCATTTGTCATAAGATCATTAATCAATGGTTTATCATTTGAATCTAATTTTTTAAATTAAATTGAACTAACCAATTTAATGATAGGTGATTTGTCAACTTTTGTTGCAAAAGTACTTTTCTTATTAATTACTAATGAATAGAGCACATAAATATTCTTTATATTGATTTCTTTAACTTAAAATTAATACTTCATTTGTCTTACTCTTATAAAGGCACTTTCAGTTAATGAAATCCTACCTGGTTCACAGACTGTACATACTCTACTAGTAGTATTTACAGTGTCTCCTATCAATGAAAATTATGGTTTATGTTAACCAATAACTCCTGCCATCACATTTCCATAATTAATTCCAATCTTTATAATTATCTATTTATCCTAATATTTTAAATTATTTGTTGATTCCATCATTGCTATTGCACATTCAATCATTTTTTAAGTTGAATTTTTTGATTATTTATCTATTATATCATAGTCTTTTAATCCTGATGCACAAACATAAATCTATCCTACTGTCTCTATCTTTTAAATATTATACTGATTGCATATTGTATCGAAAGTTCTATAAATAGAATCAAGAAAACTTATTATTGAAACTTTCTCAGATTCAATAATATCATCAAAATCGCATATCTCACAAAATAAGATTGTGACTGGTCCTTAATCTTCTTGTATTTATATATATCCTCTAGCCATCCTTTCTTTGATAAATCTAGGCATCAATATTCCCAAAGCATCATTCAATTTCTTCTATTCTTTTTCCAATTATTCTTATAATAAAAAGTTTTGTCTCCTCAAATATTCATTAACATAACATAAATAATATCCACTTAAACTTGATAAACTACATATAATTATTAAAGCTATAACAAACATTATCTATTTTTATGGGAAATATTAATATTTGGGTATTATGAATTTCAATATTACTCCCAAACTTATTAAACTTATAAGGATTATTGTGCCTTTAAATTTTAGACTTAATTTTATTGAATAACCTAACAGAATTATCATAAATATAGATGTAAATATTATTTAATTCATTATGTAATCTTAATCCAATAAGAATATTGTGATAAATTAAAATAAAAATCTACTTAAAATACTTATTAATTGTAAGTTTTATTAGATTTTACGAGGTGTTATTTCTAAATATTATAGAATATAAATTGTAATACTATAGAATAGTTACACACCCCATAGAATATAGATTGCTATATTCTTTTCAATATAGTTAATTTAAATCAATAGATTAACAAAGATAGTAGCTTCAAAGATGATATATAAGATTGAATTCTGACTCATAGATTCTTGATATCTAATTTCAAATTCTTTTTGATTGAAAGTCAAATTTTTTTTCAATTCTATTTATTCATCATTATTAATATTATTATTTAAAGCCTTATAAATTGAATCGTCCATTTAATTGTTATCTGCTAAAATAGATTTGATAAATTTTTTTCTTTATTAAATAGACAACTACAAACTTTATTTCGTTGTTCTCTATTTCTTTGTCTATTCAATGCATTTAAAATTTGATTCATCAGTAATCAAAGTATCTTAAAACATCTCTAAATTGTACAATTATAATATAGAAGTGACTGCAAATTTAAATACAAATGCAAAAATGTAAACAAATATTAAACTTCTTATTATATATCCAGGACTATAAAACAAATCTGAGTAAGATACTTTATAATCACTATAATCAGGAATAGTTAAAAATGTTACTAAAGCAACAATAAATACACTTAATAATAATAAACCTAAAAGCTATTTATATTATTATTCAAATATTTAGAAATATAATTATATTTTAACTATTAATTCTAAAGTAATTATAAAAGCAAATTATGATATTGGCAAATAATTGGAATCTCCATATAAATATTTTGTAGCATACAAAGGAATACTAACAATTGTTGCATCAATCACACCAACAAAAAATATCTTAATTAATGAATCTTTATTAAATAAAGCCTTTACTAAACATCTTTATGGTATTAATCCCTTATAATAAACTTCTGATGTTTTAAATCTTTTATTGTGGGATATTAATTGAATCATTACTGTAAATGTTTAACTTAATAGAAGGAGGATGTTACAACTTTAAGTTAAAAATTACCCTTAATTTATGAAATTGATTAACACAAATAGAATCATTTCGTAAAGCCAAAAATATAGAATTTGTTAGGCCAACAGAGATGAACTTATACATTTAGATATTAAAATAGATTCTGCACATCTTAAAGAGTTAACTAAATAGCAAGGTTTGGATTATGTATAACATTTTGGGTTTATGTCAATTGATATTTAACTCATATTATAAACTCTTTGAGTATTAGCACAACTTCCAATATATCCAATTTACATATTTAATTTTTTGGCAATCTTAAATAATTTTACCTTTGAGATTTCCTAACTATCATATAAAGCTAGTCCTCTACTAAACCAAACTATTATTGCAAAATGATTTAAAAGAAATTCATCTTTAATAATAGTTAATAAGGCTTCACAACTTAAGAGTATATACTTTTTATCAATATCTTATGCTTCAAATATTCTTATATTTAATTATAAAATTTACCTTTATTACTTTATCAAATTTGAACAAGCACTTTAAATTACAAATTTCAATGTTCTTTCATCTCCAGAATTAAATTAATTTAAATCATTTTCATTTTCAATAAATTTTGCATCAAACAAAAATCTTAAAACTACAAATTGACTTTCAGCAGAAATTAACCATGTATTTAGCTAAAGATGATATTTTACAAAAAAAATACATTTGCTTATGAAAATGCATCTATTGTTAGAAGTGCACTTTGATCTATTTTTGCATGAGATCCAATAATCATTAATAATTCAGCTTATGATTCTAATTGTAAATATAATAATTCTAATTAATCTTCATCTGCTGTATATGAATTCATAATATTCATTTTATTTATTAGAAATTACTTAGCTTCACTCTTTTTGAGTTATTTTTTTAAATAGAGAGTTGGTTATTACCCCTATTTCAACATATAATACAATGTTGAATTAATTTCTAATACATTGATATTCATATGAGTATTTTCATACATTTGAGATGTTTCAATTTTGATATATAGAAGTGCACCTTCA